GGATTCGCAGCATGCGCAATAGTGCTTAATTTCCTTCCTCATGTCACTCCAGAAGAATGACTTTTCGATCTTTTGTCGTGTTTTCTTTTCTCCAAAGTGACCTGCGTACGGGGCATTGTGAAATGCCTTCAATACGTCAGGCACCATACATGCTGGCACAACGAATCTCTCTGAGAGGCACCCTCGGCGACTGCCCTCTCGCTGTTGGGAAATCTTGCAAAGCAAGCCCTGCTCATTCATTTTGTACTCCGATTGGAGTGCTGGCTCCGAGGGAAGTCGCCTGAGCAAGGCCTCAAGAGAGGGATCATTTTGTTGTTCCTCCCTTAGCCTCTCTTCGCTTATGGTTGGGACGTAAGATGTTACCAACTTAACGTGGGCCGGAGGGTCACGCTCGGGAGTTCTACGGCTCAGGGCGTCTGCATTAGTGTGCGCCTTTCCCGCTTTGTGCTCTACCTCGAAGTTGTATTCCTGAAGCTGCAGGTTCCACCTCGCCAGCCGAGAACTCGGGTCTCGCATGTTCATTAGCCATTTTAGAGGGCGGCAATCCGTGGTGATCTTAAAATCGCGACCATACAAGTAGCATCGAAAATGCCGGACCGCCCATACCAATGCTAAACATTCTTTTTCAGTCGCGCTGTACGACTGCTCGGCCTTGTTCAGCTGGCGACTTGCGAATGCCACCGGGTGCTCGTGCCCATTGTGTCTCTGGGACAGAACCGCCCCAAGGGCGTACTGTGACGCGTCTGTGGCGAGAACAAACGGAATACGGAAGTCGGGGTACCTCAGGATCGGAGCCTCGACCAGTCTCTGCTTTAAACTTTGAAAGGCGCCCTCGGCATCGTCAGTCCACTCGAACTTTACATTTTTGGCCGTCAGGCGTGTGAGTGGTTTCGCTTCCCTAGAGAACTGGTTGATGTGTCGGCGGTAGTACCCGATAAGGCCCAAGAACTCCCGGACCTCTCGCAGGTTCGTCGGGCGAGGAAAGCTCTGCACGGAGCTTACCTTCTCTGGGTCCGGTCGAACTCCCGCCGCGGACACCATGTGTCCGAGGTATTTCACCTCCGCCTTCAGGAACTGACATTTTTTTGGCTTTAGTTTTAAACCCGCGCCCCTAAGACGCCGAAGCACACTTTCGACATCTTTCATGTGCTGATGAAAGGTCTCGCTGTATATGACAATGTCGTCCATGTACACGTGGCAGACCTGACCCACCAGCCCTTCTAGCACCACGTCCGCAGTACGCTGCCACACCGCGGGGCTATTTACGAGCCCCATAGGCATCCTGGTCCACTGGTAGTGCCCGTTAGTCGTGTTGAACGCTGTCTTCTCTTTGTCAGTGGGATCCATTTCAATCTGCCAAAATCCAGAGGCCATGTCTACCACAGAGAAATATCTGGCCGACCCCAACTGAGACAGCGTCTCCTGGATATTTGGCAGAGGGTATGGGTCCACACGTGTCACGCTGTTCAACTTCCGGTAGTCGACGACAAATCGAAACGATCCGTCCGCCTTCTCGACCAAGAGCGCCGGCGACCCCCAGGGCGACTTGGAATGCTCCACTATGCCCGCCTTCATCATGCCTCCCACCTGGCGATCCATCTCCTCCCTCTGTGAATACGGAATACGGTACGCCCGCTGATACACAGGCGTGGCGTCACCGGTGTTAATCCGGTGCTTGATCTCCCCGCACTGCCCTAGGTCTAGATTGGTCCTGGCAAAGACGCCCGCATATCGTCTTATCACCTGCCGGAGCTCGACCAACTCCTCTCCGGTCACATGAGCAATGTCGAAAAGGGAATCAATCTCCGCGTCTGAGAATGCCTCGGCGGTCTTCTGAACTGCACGAACGCATTCCACCTCAGCACTGAGCTCCGCGCCATGAAACAGTGCTACATTCTTGTTCCGAGGCAGTGTCAACTCTTCCAACGTGAAATTGGCTATCCGCACAGGTACCCGGAGGTTTTCAGTTACGTGGACCAGCGCCGATGCTCCCGCGAGTCCGTGTACCGATAGCGGGCCGGTCTCCACAACGCCCAGCTCTCCCGCAGCGATTGGTTTGGCCAGTTTGGCCCAACACACGACTTCAGACATCGCAGGTATAGTGCAAGGACTGGCAAGGCGCACCGAAACGCCCGCTGGAGTAACCCGCACCGCGCCAACACTGTCGCCATGCTCAGTCGCAGGAGCAGTCCGCCAATTCCAGATGGGAATCTCGTTTTCACCGACCCTCAAAACTTTTCGCGTTGTGAGAAGGTCGATGCGCTGACTGGAAAGGACGTCCTGACCCAAAATCCCGTCAACGGGAACGGCCGGGCCGTCCGCAACCACGTAGCATGCGTGATCAAATCGGTGCTCCCCCAAAGCGAACTGCATCAAGAAACACCCTCTGATGTCAATTTCCTCCCCGGTTATTCCTACTAATGGCCCGTGGCTCATGTTCGCAACGGCCGGAGATTTTTCATTTGCCTCAGTTACCTTCTGCAGCACGCTCTCACGAATCAAAGTCACCCGTGATCCAGTGTCAACGAGCAAGTTAACGCCGAAACCATTAACACTGCACGCGATCACGGGGCTCGTCTCCCTTGAATACCGGATGACAGCTACCGGCTTCGCGACCACCTTGGGCGCCGGTTCCCCGCGGCCTCCTGCCCTGTCTTTCGCCCTTTTTGCGCCTTTCCCTTTCCGACTACTAACGACTGCCGCCCCCTCTTCCTCCCTAGCAGAGGGGACGTCTATACGTTTTTTGGATACGTTTGCGAACGATCCTCTGCGGGTCGCTCTCCACAGCTGCGAGCCATGTGCCCGACCCTGCCGCACGCATAACAGGTTGGAGGGCCGGTCGACCTGCCTGGGCGTCTGTTGAACGACGGCAATCGCGTTTGTTCCATCAACATCTTCTCGATGTTACTTAGCCTTTCTTTGAGCTCCTGCAACTCGGTTTTCTCCTTTCCGTCACCCTCACTCACTAGCCGGATTCCCGCGATGCCGTTGCTCAACGACTCGTTCGCCTCGTCCCTAGCAGCAAAGTCTACCGCGTCGTCGAAACTCTTAGGGTCACGTGACATGACAAACCTCCGAACAGGATCCCGGAGCCCAGCCACAAACTGAGAGCGCACCTGCTCGAGCAACAATTCTTGTCTCATTTTCGACTTCGCGTCCGGAGAGCCGTCCGAATCCATCACCGTAGCCTGAGCGAGTATCTGAACGCGAGTCGCGAACGTTCGCACGTCTTCACTCGGGAGCTGCCTCGCCCCCATAAACCTCTGCACGCGAATGGTTAGCGGTTCGGTGTCGAAACGGCTCAGGAGAACCTGTTTGAGCTCCGTGAACGTCTTAGCCGACCTGGCCTTCGCGTCATTCCATACGAATTCTTTCGCAGCCCCCAACATCTTACATTTACATAAGCACAGCGTGGTGGCGTCATTCCACAGCCCCATAGTAGCCACTTGCTCCACAACAGTCAAAAACTCTTTAACTGAGCCGTCACCCCCAAAACTTGGGATTAGGTTGCTTAATGCAAGCAGACTAGGAGCCATTGCACTACTGCTTGCGGCAGAATTCCCGGAAAGAGCCATGCCGGCCAACACACAGACCAAACGTGCTCGAAATTCCGTGGCACTCCTCCAGCTCTCTCTGGCAAAGGGGATCCAGACAAGTCGGGTCAATGCCAACCGCCAAAAGTTAAATGGATCCCACCGCTGCCACCAATGTGATGATCGCTACCGGAGGTAGCGGTTACACCACCCTTGGGGTCCCTTTTGGGGTAGAGAGGAGAAGAAATGCCACGAGACTCGGATTTAAATTAGGACGTTTATTGTCCGACTGGGGACGTAAGGTGTCCGCTCACCCGCTTGGGCCGGCGCTTGGAACCTGGCAGGTTGCACGTCATTCTCTCGTGTCGTGGCCTCTTGTCACACGGCACGGGCTGGTGAGGTCGGGCTGTGGCTGCTTGTCACCCGGCACGGGCTGGTGAGGTCTGGCTGTTGCTCCTTGTCAGCAGGCACGGGCTGGTGAGGTCTGGCTGTGGCTGCTTGTCAGCAGGCACGGGCCGGTGAGGTCTGCTGTGGCTCCTTGTCAGCAGGCACGGGCTGGTGAGGTCTGACTGTGGCTGCTTGTCAGCAGGTCGCTCGCCGACGTCCGTCCCGGGACAAGCTTCAGTCGCCGAGCCCTGACGGCCGATGCCTTTCAGTCCTTCCTTTCGTTTCCTCCCTGGCAATCGGGGCAGGCCTCGATTATGACGCTCTTGATCTCCTCCTCGTTCTCGAGCCTTTTTCCCCTTCCGGAACCTCCGTGACGCTCTTCATCTCCTCCTCGTTCTCGAGCCTTTTCCCCCTTCCGGAACCTTGACGGACGCCAACCTCTAAACCCGTCAGGGTCACCAATTTTTACAGTCCCCGGAGACGCCACCCGTCGAAGATGATCCGCACGTGCAACACAAAAAGCGCGGAAACGCGCCAGACAAAAATAAGCCTCGCGTCGCCAGACAGCCGAAAGTTAGCCCTCTCCTTGACCCCATACCTCGCCTCCTTGGAACGGAGGGCGCGCTGAGGATTAAGATTAGCCACGGTGTCCCCACGTCCGGTCACGGATAATCCACCAAAGTTGTTCTCGGGGAAGGTCCCCAGTTTGTGCGCACTTCACACCAAGGGCGCTAGACAGTCACGTTCAGATTCCTGAGATCGGCCCTTGAGTCATCGGGCCGGTGGGGGCCTTCGAGGAGGACTCTAAAGACAAAAAGAACGTCTCCCGGAGGCCACGAGACCATTTGGGACCGCCAGCCTTCGGAAAGAAAACACCGGCGTGCGTGTCCGTGCCTGTGTGTGTGTGTGTGTGGGTCTGTCGGTGTTGGGTTTCAGCAAGGGCGTCGACTCCTTGCATCAGCCACCGAAGCGGGGCAAGAACGTGGAGGGATTGCATCATCTGCCCTTGGCGAAAGAACACCCGGAAATTGCATCAGCCTTCCCGAACTTCGAACACCACGTGAATGCCTGGAAGGCCCCTCTCTCGCTCCGCGGACCTTGTCGCCCTCGGAGGGTTATATAGCAAGTGCTCAGAGAGCCCGAAGTCGCTAACTGCCGACTGCCGATTGCCATTAACCAGTCGACCATGCTACTTGTACATTCACTCTATGTAAAAGTTCTACTTCAATACGCCCACCCCAGGCCTGTTTCCTCGGAGCCATGCTAGCAGCAAGCCACAGCCCCGACACTTGGTTCCGCGCCTGAGGTCGTCACCCTCCCGAACGCAACAACTGGTTGGCAGCGACGGGATGGACTCCACGCAGACCATTGATCGCACGTGTGGGTGAGTGTCTGGCTTTTCCCTTTGAGTACACAGGTAAAAGCGGGTGTTGTTTTTCGTGTGACTATTTTTGACGTAGCATGTGTTGTGCGTCACGACAGCAGTGTTGGGACATAGCTAGAGCTCGAGACGGTCATGGATCTCAATTCACCTCGTAAGCCGGAATCGATATGTATCTGCGAAGAGTTAGGTGTGGATGTCGGGGGAGTGAAAAGAAAGCCGCACCTCATGAACCTAATTCCCGCCTCAGACGTTAGCGAGGCCGAGCTCCTAATGAGTTTGGAGCGCATTAGAGATAGGGAGAAATGTGAGCGGGAGAAAAGAGAATCTGAGCGTTGCCAGTGGGAACGCGAGCGTCGTGAGTGGGAACGCAGCATGGAGCGTGAGCGTTGCGAGCGGGAACGCAGAATGCAGCGTGCGCAGTGGGAGTGGGAACGTGAAATGGAACGAATGGACCACAAGATCAAGCAGATGAGGATAGAACTAGCATCTGTCCGGCAGGCGCAGGTGGTGGGTAGCGTTGAGGCTGTGACCGAGGGTGTGTGTCGGAGAGAGAGGAAAGCAGAAGGTGGAAACATCGAATTGACCTAAGAACAACAGCTTTCTTCCGACACGGGCGACAACGTTCCAGGTAAATTCGACCCGAATAGCGAGGTGCTGGAAGTTGCAAGTGAGCAGCTTCACGAAAAAGGCGGAGAGGAAACTCCTCAGGCGCTCGGCGGCTGCTTCTCGGAGGACGAAGGCGAGACCGTGATGGAGACGACGCCGTGCCAGTCCAGTCAGCCCAAGAGGGGCGCCAAGAAAGAGAAGTCAGCGGATCAGGAGTCTAGCCAGGATCGTGATGGCTTTAATCTGCCCCCGTGTGGTATCGAGGACAAGCCCAGGGGACGGGCGCAGGAGTCTGAACCTGCCACCAGGGACAGGGCTGTGATTGATATCTCATTCAACAATAGAGATTATTCTTGTCTGGTACGTTTGCGGCACCCCGACTCCGACCCGCTCCTGGAGTCCGGGTGCAAGAAGTTCGACGAGCGCGCGTCGAGCGGGCAGCTGTTGTCCAGGTTGGAGGAGAGAGAACCCGAGGTGACCCATCACGAGGAACCCTCAACCGACGGCGGCTGTGAGAGCAACCAGCAGGCGTCCAACGGGTAGCTGTTGTCCAGGCTGGAGGACAGAAAACCCAAGGTGACCCACCACGAGGAACGATCAATCGATGGCGGCTGCGAGAGCGACGAGCGGGCGTCCAGCGGGCAGCTGTTCTCCAGGTTGGAGGAGAGAGAACCCGAGGTGACCCACCACGAGGAACCCTCAACCGACGGCGGCTTCGAGAGCACGGCATCCGCCGAGGACACGGATGAGACAGAGCTGGATATAGATCAAGCTTCGTACCTGGGGCACTCGAAGAAATCGTCCCGTTTGCGCCGATCTTCGAAAGAAAAAGAATGCAAGAAAAACCAGCGCAAGGGCAGCGTCCTCCGATCAGGCCCGAACACATCCGACAAAGAGCATCATCGGAACTTTGGCGACTGCACATCGCGGAAGAAGCAGCCAACACGGCGGCGAGGCAGAGGACGGCGAGTAGTCCAACAGAAGAAGCGTTCGACCGTTGGTGGCAGCGATCAAGAGGGACCCAATCGAAACACGAAGGAGCCCGTATGCTACAGAACAGACCCGAAGCGTGTGCACCGAGAGACATCGGCGCGCTTGCGGCGCGGCGGATCGGAAATCAAGAACTCGGACGCTGAGGTGGGCCCTTCTTCTCGGTGGACGGAACCCAGGAGTAAGTGACTGCGCCGAATCAGAGTCCTGCGTTCTGACAACGATGCTTGCGGCAAAAAGCGTCATTTAAAGCTCGAAAAGTGCGCGTACAAGAATAAGCTATCGTACAGGCGGGGAGATGGAGAATGCCAAAACATCCATCGCCAGGAATCATCAGCCTACAACATAGCTACGAGCAAGAGAGCGGCAGGACACACCGATGAATCAAGACCGGACGAAGCAGGATCGAGACAGAAGCAGTCTGACAGGCGGCGCAACAGCTCAAGGAAGTCGTCCAAAGTGAAAAAGGCACGAAGGCCATCAAACGTGACTCGAACTTCTCCCACACCGAAAGAGGAAGATAATTCTTGGGATGCTGGAGCACTGCGAGGACAGTCGTCGATCTCGTCCAGGTACACCGGGCGACAGAGCTATCTATTCAACTTACCGCCCGTCATCACGTCAGATCTGAAAATCAAGTCAGGCCTCCTTGTCTGGAACTTCAAGTCGAGAATCAAGTCCAGTGAGAAGGATTTGAAGAGTTCCAGTGGCATCAAGAAGAAACAGGGTGTTGGTTAGAGTGGACTTTCGAGGGATTAGAAGAGGGATGGCCGTGGTAGTGGCCCTCGGGAAAAAGGAGAAACTCTGGCTTAGTGAGCTGTTTGATCAGTTTTATTTTCACGGGAGTCCGAGTTTTTTTCTGCGTATTGTTCGACTTTAACTCGTATTATTCGCGTTGAAGTTTATTAAGCGTTTCTCTCGGCATAGTTCGTTTTTTTAGAACACGCGATAGAACATAAAAGGGGTACTTGCTAAATTGATTTTAGTGCCTGGTGTGTGTTCGATCGGGTTCGCTGGACGCGCACCTGCGGTGCGGTCTTGGTTGTATGCTGTCATCCTCCAAAGATTTTCGCAAGCTGCCCAGGCGCTTGGAAGTGAGCAGAGAGAGGGCGCGGCCTTCGAAAAAAGCAGGAGACGGTGATCCAGCAGAGACATAACCGTATTGGGGGTTCCCCTACCACCCCGCCCTCATCGGCTCTTCGGTGGTTCCTCAGAGGGGTGGCTGCTGACCTCTCCTCTTCGGAAGCGACTTCTGGGCGGCGGAGGGACTGTTACGACTGGCTTCCTTAGCTCCGTCCTGGAGTTCGCCTTCACCTGTTACCAAGGGCGCTAGACAGTCACGTTCAGATTCCTGAGATCGGCCCTTGAGTCATCGGGCCGGTGGGGGCCTTCGAGGAGGACTCTAAACACAAAAAGAACGTCTCCCGGAGGCCACGAGACCATTTGGGACCGCCCGCCTTCGGAAAGAAAACACCGGCGTGCGTGTGCGTGCCTGTGTCTGTGTGTGTGGGTCTGTCGGTGTTGGGTTTCAGCAAGGGCGTCGACTCCTTGCATCAGCCACCGAAGCGGGGCAAGAACGTGGAGGGATTGCATCATCTGCCCTTGGCGAAAGAACACCCGGAAATTGCATCAGCTTTCCCGAACTTCGAACACCACGTGAATGCCTGGAAGGCCCCTCTCTCGCTTCACGGACCTTTTCGCCCTCGGAGGGCTATATAGCATGGGCTCAGAGAGCCCGAAGTCGCTGACTGCCGACTTCCGATTAACCAGTCGACCATGCTACTTGTCTATTCACTGTATATAAAAGTTCTACTTGAGTACTCCCACTCCAGGCCTGTTTCCTCGGGGCCATGCTAGCAGCGAGCCACAGTCCCGACACTTGGTTTCGTGCCTGAGGTCGTCACCCTCCCGAACGCAACACCCGACAGCCCGACGGAAACAACAGCGCGAGAAGCTCAAGCCGCTCCACAAACTCACGCCGAGCATGCGAGCGCGAGGGCAGTCATGCGTCACCTTGTTTGATGCAAAGCCGACCGAACACGCTGCGGCAGAAAGCGCAGACGGACGGCACGCACGGCACGGACGAAAGGCGCACGTACTGTACGAGCAGAGGCCATGCAGAATGATGCTGAGGTGATGGCGTGCAGGCACACGGCAGGCCGTGGCAGGCACCATTCCTCACGTGATTTTTGTGACGTATTAAATGAAAACTATTTAGTCGTTTTAAGTACTTTACATAATTCTAAAGCATAACAATTTCAAAAATGAATGCTTCTCACGGAAAGAGTTCTAACAATTTTAACCAAATTACAGAAAAGCGCCACGTAGCGGAGGGCATTAAACGCACTCTCTGGGACGCGAATATGCTTCTGTGTCCTCTCTTTACGTTTACTATATTGCTCAATGGTTACCTGACGGGCGGAAAGAGGACGTTGGCGTACTTGTCGCCTTTGGTTGGCTTCAGTTTGGTTAGTTTCGGTTTCTGTGCGCTCGCGGCTGTGTCGGTGCTTTATGTCATTTTCGATTAGGATTTTTGATACAAATATGCCCGTTGTAGCACACAACTGATACAACAGTGGTACTGAGTCACTTGAGAAAATGAAGTCGTTTCTAGTCATAATTGCTGACTTTTACGAACACTTTGAAATGCTTTGCACATTTGTATCGTAAATTGTTACCAGTTTCGTCGGATAAACGTTCCAACTTATGCGCGGGGAAGATTCCGTAGTCTATTGCCGTACCCTATGGCCCTAGTTTTTAGAAAAATAAGCTAAGGAAGGGCATAGTAAAAAATACATCGAGAACCTGTTTAGCAATGTGCTGGATTTCGAAGAACGCAGGAAGTCGCTGCTCGCTCTTTAATTTCCGCGACACCCACCTTCTCTGAACTGCAGCATCTGGTAATGGCTCTATAATAACCCAAATAATCTAAAAGAAAAGAAATGTTATTGTCTGGGGTTGTTTCCGTTTGCAAAAGTTAAGTACGGGACATATTTTGATATCTCGTTGTAAACGCAGGTTGTGAAAATTATTTTAACTGTCCTTCCGGCAATAATACACTTATTAACAGCATTTCACGATATTAGTGTCAGGAAATAGACAAGTTGCTTTGCGAACATTTGCTCATGACGTACGTAGGATATGACAAAACGACAAGACCGTCAAGTGAAGTCTGAAAGTTTGTCTTGCGTCAAGTTCGCCAAATGATATTAAAGGACGTGAGACAAGTGACCTTAAAGGGCCCCTGAAAAAAAAAAAGTTCTAGCCAATTTGGTTGGCACACACGTGCCAAAATATTAATTTTACGAAAAAAAAAAAAATTCAGAGCAATATTGACAGCGCGAAACGCGACTTAGCCGGTAGTTGCCTCCTTTACAATTGCTTTATATCTCGGCATTTCGGGCGCGTGGATGAAAGGTGGATCGGCTTCGCCTTCACGTTGAGGTGGAAAGAGCGCGTTACCATCTTGTTGAGCGAATGAACATTCCGTGACGTCATGGACTATGCGCGCAGAATTTCAAATATATCTCTTGCCGTCAGTATTGCCCTAAACAATTTTTTGTTCGCGGAAAACTTATTTCTCGACAAGCGTGTCACAACCAGATTGTTCAAAAAGTATATATATTTTTTCAGGGCTTTTTAAGCAAGTTTGACTGAAGTATAAGGCTAGGCACATCACTTCATGAACCAGTGTACAAAAATCTTTGTTCGTTGAAACAGATGCACTTTGTACATTTCGCCATCTACAAGGCTGTACTCGGGTGGTTTCTTTGAGGCTTATTATATATTGCGGGCTCTAGGCACTCTCAAGCTGCCTGTGACGGTATTCTGGCCGGTTTAGTCCCAACATTTCTGTTGAAATGATAGAAATAAATAATCAAACTGTATGCCTTAAAATATTTGTTAAAGCACTCGAATGACACTTGACATGAGAGCGAGCATGGTGTACTACTTCTTTAAATGACAAATAAACATATAAATTAAGGTAGTGTTTACATCGCAAGAACGAATATGAACGTTTAACACATTTTGGTGTAATACCATGGATAAAAAAAGCGCCTGATATTGATGTTCCCCTTATTTCAGGATGAAATAAAATTCAAGTTAAACTGATAATGCCATTAAAGGAAAATATGCAAGCGAGCAAGACAAGAATGACGAAAAAAAACCACGGAGGAGGGGAACAAGGGGGACAATGGAGAAACACAAATCTCCAAACACAGCTAGGTGACTGGGAAAAATATACGCCTGGTTCTGGTATCGAACCATGGACCTCTCAATTTCCAGTGGAGCGCTCTACCAACTATGGTAACCAGGAGTTAGACGTCAGTGGAGCAAACGGGCTTTATCAGCTGCACTAGTCTAACACCAACAAGGGTGAACGGCTTGCATTTTTAAGGTTATGGTGATAATGCAGTTAAAGACAGAGGTGCAAGCGAACTGGACAAGAATAACGAAAATGGTCCCTGGAGAAGGAGATGATTTGTTTCCTTTGTCCAGGGATTATTTTCGTCAATCTTGTCCAGCTCGCTTGCACGTTTGCCTTTCGGTGCATTATCATCATAACATTAAAAATGCAAGCCCTTCATCCTTAGTGGAGTTAGACTGGTGGCAGCTAATAAAAACCGTTTGACCTATGACGTCCAACTCCTGGTTAGCTCAGTTGGTAGAGCGCTTCACTGGTAACGGAGAGATCTGAGGTTCAATACCAGACCAGGCAGATCTTTTCGTCCTCGCACCAGTCACCTAGCTGTGCTTAAAAATTTTTCTTTTTCTTTTTGTCTTCCTTCATCCCTTTCTACACGAATTAACTTCGTCAGGCAAGTTAAACATTCGTTACCTATCTTCGCGAGTTCCCCCACGCAATGAAAGACAACTGTTTTCAATTAATATTGAAGGTAAGGCACGATTCTTGTAGGAAACACAATAGTTTCTCCTTTCTATTATTGTAAAGATCCTACATGAGCGATCAAAAATATACGTTGCGCTACTTATTTCGAATGTTCCGCCAATATATGGTTGAGCAGACTTGAGTTATTTTAAGTAACTGTGTCTTCAATCCTCCTACTGACTTGGAGTCATTTACATATTCAGTGTAGTTCAGGGCAAATGCTTATTCCTATGCCCCCCCCCCCCCCCCCCCCCCCCCGCTTCAAAAGTATCCGGTATGACGATGAGAAAAATAGTCAAAGACTTTTACAAAATTAATGCGGAAGTTATGAACATAATGATAGTATGCAATGGTACAGGACAACACTTTACAAAGTAAGGCGAGAAACGCTGTGGAATTCGACGGAAAACACGAAAACAACTCCTTCGCCAAGGCGCGAAGGAGTTACCAAAAGCTCCCAAATAAAATAGATAAATTAAAATTTGCCATATAATTTTTATACATATGTTCTCTTTTTTGTAAATTTCGCCTCGCGACTCGCGTAAACGAGATAGTAGTTCGACTTCGTGAATAGTGCGCGCATCTAACTCTTAAAAAAAAAAAAGGATGGCACGTGTGACGTCCTGCGGAAACATATTTTTCTTCATTCTGAGTTTGATACTTTGAGTTCGAACAAAACAAAAGTGCATTAAACCAAATGCCACGATCGGTTTTGTAGTTACCGATACTAGACGAACGGATATCCTCCAGACGCCCTCCAAACACAGTCGCATGATTACTAGACCCCCTATAAAATCAAGCGAGGTGGGCGCTGAAACTCCAGGCCACGCCATCGGAGAGTGAAATTCGGTAGAAGAATATCAGCAATTCAGAACAATGTCTTTTGCTCTGCTCGCCGTAGCGGCTGTGCTGGTTCTTCATGGCACTTATGCAAGCACGACTTACCCAGAACAGAATCCAGCGCTTCAAGAGTATCAAAATGAAGGACCGGTAAGTTTAGAAAGATATAAAGTAAGCGAAATAAATATTTGATCTACATTGAGTTCTTCTACTTGATGTGCCCGGCCCTCTGCCTGAGACGAGCGTAATCACGACTGACTTGACAACCAAGAGAAGTCCTTATCTTCGAACAACGATCTCACCTTGCAGTGTTTTCCCCTCGAAGAGACATGGTACGTGGCGTACAGGAATTACGAGACGGATCCAATTTTTGGCGGTTCGGCTAAATGTGTCAGATTCAGCGAGACTGATCCCGGGCAAAATGGCGCTTACCCAGTGATTGTCGAGTACGAACCAAACTTTTCAGCGTAAGTATACCTTTTAAACAAACTAACATCATTTCTCATTAGTGTGAACTTGAAAACGTCGAGAACACAGAGCAAGTGGCTACGGTGACCTTTTTTGTATGGCGCCTACTCTGCTGGAGAAAAATAACGTTATAAAAATAATGCACGATATTGAAAAAAGTGTTTGCTAGGTCAAGAACCAATAAGAACTAATTAAGGCAGAAAACGCTATCAATTATCGATCATGGTTATTTCGTTCGTAAAAACAGTAATAACCCCGACGTTAAGAGGGTTTCTTTATAGTTTTCAGAAACATAGCAGCTACCTCACAAAATTAGAGCCCTCTACTCCAAGGGGACGTCGCTACCTCACAAGAGGTGTTTTCTTCCAACAAGTTTCTATTTGTTTCTTTCTGCCAGAACGGCATCTTAGCTGCAAGATGAAATCCAAAACTCGTTTAGGATATGGCTTCTCAGGATGTACAAACCTCTACATTTTTAGCTCGAAACAAAGTTGGAAAGTTTTGTAACTTTTCAACATATTCCACCCGTAAGCTCTCGACTATGGTAGAGGTCGGCGTTTCAGCCATCAAGAGTTAAATTCTGGGTTGCGAAAAATTTGGCTCGTTTTGTTTGTCGAACACTGTACTTCCCTTTTTGGGTGTAATGGGCGATGAAATTTACGGGCAGCAACCTTCCTCGGCCAGTTGCACTCCGTGTTCAGTGTACATGAGCAGCAACTAATCAACTTGGACAAAATCTACGCACCCGTTAAGTTTAATCTGATAGGTTCAGCATGCTTTATTTCGTTTTACATTACGGTTGGCCGTAAGGGACACCATGGGCCATCGAAATCAATTCAATGAAAATGTCAAGGAGTACACCAAACCGAAAGTCAAGTCCGAATTCTAGAACTAGAAACGGAACATTTGTTTGTGTAGCATTTGAAAGTCGGATTACTTATTACAGCTTTGATGGGTTTCATTACAGTGATCTAACAGTGACCCTCAGCTCATCACCAGGATATACACTGAAAAATATTTTGAATTTTCAGCCTCAAGGTCGTGAGTATTACTGCCTTCAAAGCTTATGTTAAGAGAGTCCTGTTAGTTTTTACTAAGGGTGTTTGCGTTTATACAATGTGTATATATAAAGCCTATAAATCCTTTGGAGAAATTAATATTCGGGTCTTAAGGTGCATACAGAATTACCTGGCTATGAACTTTCTTCTGTTGTACTAGAAGTAAAATTAAGAAGCTCTTTGCTACTTGCCTAAACGTCCTCGTTTCTGACTGGGATTTAAATTCGATAAAACGACCACTTTCACTCACAAAGAAACTCATTTTGTCTTCAAAAAAACGTTGTCCTAAGACAGTGGTTTTCAAATGGTGGTTCGCGAACCATCCCCGAATCCCTCAAGTACCAAGCAATAAAATGATTTTTTTTAAAGAATTGATGCTGACTGTTTTACATGAGCACCAAATCACTAGGGTTCAGTTGTCTATGATTCAGGCCTTTAAGGTTGGCTTGTATGTATTTAGTTTTCTTTATTTAGACTTTTTTCAGTGTAATCGTCTATTATCCCACACGTCGCCGGTGGGGAGTTTCTGCTTACTTCCACTGGTCCAGAAGGGGCCCCCAAAACGTCATTGGTTGAGAACCACTGTCCTAAGATATTAGTGAATACGAGATATCATGGTATATGTGTCACACCATTTAACTCAATTTAGCTCGATAAATATGATGGAAGACAAATTATGATTCTGTCAGATATCCGACTTGACACTTTTTAAGTGGATTTTTGGTTTCATTTTGCCCTATAGTCCGTAGGTGGATAAAATTACTTTATTAAGGGATCTGTTGATGAAAACTAATTTGTATCTTCGCAGAGAGTATGTCGGTGCCGGCTTACTCAGCGTACAAAGACGTGAAGAAGTGTGACGTACTCCGAACGACCTACGCAGGGGGTAAGATCCTCTCTTAGATTTAGAATGGCGTACATAAACTCCCAGTGCATTATTCGTGCATTATTTTCTACTGTAGGAAGTTACCCGCGTCACATTGTTTTTCAATTCAGTCATCGCCCCTTAGGATCTTCAAAATTCGCTAATTGTCTTTGTGTACATAGTTAATATTATATATTCACGAACATTTAAATACTTTCAAGGAGTTGCAACTTGCTTGACGCAGTTATCAGTTCTATACAAGGCGACTATTAAAACGCTGCTATCATAGCATAACCTTTTGAATCTTTTAAACTTCACGCGCTCGTATATCTTTCTAGGATGGTAAACTAAATACAAGCTCGGACAGTACTTTGGGATTCACGGATATATGAGCAATTTTGACAGGTTTGGTTTCCGTTTGCTGATCTACTGGCATTTCCTTTTTTTTTTTTAATTTTGCAATGAGCCAAGCTTTATTTTCACAAATAATAAGTGGGGACTCATCTGTTTGAATTGGTGCTTCCTGTTATTGCTATGCTCGTTAATACACATAACCGTATTTTATACGGCGCAGTCTTGGTATCCTGACGTCTCACTAATTAGTTCACCTTTAAACCCTGTAGATGATGCCTGTGTCCTCCTCGTCCCAAAGAGCCAGCTGGGACATCACGAAATGTGCTGTGACTTCATCTTTGACCTACTCTGCGGCACCGCACCGAAGTATAACATTTCCGACAGCAGCTGTCCGTAGAAGGCATGATGCAGCTTTATACAGCGTCTTTGTTGCCGACAAGTTAAACGCCGTTTATGCATGGGAATGGTTGCTGGTGATAGAAACGTATCCCAGTTGTAAGTAAATAAAAAAATATTATTGGCATATTTTTTTTTGCTTTGCTTTATTGACTTATATCGTCCCGGTTATTCAAAATGAATGCTATACTCCATTTCACAAATACCTGCGATACTGACAAAGGCACGGTCGCGAGGATTTGTAAAACGTATTCAATGCTCATGTTCCCGTGCAAACAGAACAATCAGTTTTTCTAAGCTCACGCGCCTCTGCCTTTGCCCATACAGCCTATAAAAAATAGACTACCCTGTGTAATCAAAATGGCGGTTTGGAAGCTTTGACTGTCCTGAAAAGCGAGTGACTAGCCTTTGGGCAAAGTGACGACCCCAAACCGCTGAGGAATGACCATGTTTCTGCACGTGGTGACGAGAGCGGGGGGGACTTTTGATTTTGGTATTTACGTGCAGGCAGTCGTAAATAATTCCAGTAACTTCGATAACTACACGAGATCTATAGATTATTTCCTTATTTAGCTTTCGTGATCCTTCAAGATCGACCAAGCTCACATGTGTTGTAAAATTAGCGTAAATTGGTGGAATAAATATTTTGTCAGCGCGAGAAGCAACAGTGATTCTCGACAGATGTGGCTCACCGGCTCACCCCAAATACCATTGACTACCGATACTGGAAACTGGAGCCAAAATACATGGAGTTGTCGGGAGACACAGAAGTGCTGCCATCTCTCGGTGTGGGATGGTAAACTATGAGCTCGAAATTAGAAGAATAACAGTCATTCACTACACTATTTTTTCTCTTCACACTATCAGGAATTGTGAATATGTGGCAAATCGTTGTGCCGATTTCAACTGAGCAAGAGCTGATACACAATATTTCTAATAATGAGGTGCGCTTTATATTAGCAGTATTTAGATTATATGGACCCATGTATTACACCTGGTACAAATGACCTACTGGCAATCATTCACTTTCTAGTAAGGTAACTGTTTATGGACCACTCTAAAGGCAATGGCTGTTACAAGCTGTAGTAACTGGCTCTTTGCAGTTAGAAATAAAGCACAGCAATTCAAATATGTAATTGCTCCATGGGTCATTATTTAAAATTATATAAGATGCACTTCCAATGAGGCTGGAAATGCTACACGACATAGTAATTACAGCCAGTAAATGAAACACTGTTTAACGAAGAGCCAGTATTTATAAGAAAGTAGAAATAATGTCCGGTTCAGTATTACTTGTCGTTTGGGGGGCCTGGTTAGCCACTAATGACTACAATGACTATTGGATTGTACTGCTGAGTTATTTAAACGAGTATAAACTAGATTGCCTTCCAAAGGTTATTGGTGGCTCTGGGCCTATATCCTAAGCTATTTCGGGGCATATAGACAAAGCAGCTGTTTATTAGGTAGTTCCTCTTGTGATAGACTTTAATGACCATTAGTGACCATTTCGTGATATTTGTGAGGTTATGTCTCAAACTGGATTTGAATGACTATTATTTGCTATTTGATTTTATTTCCTAATTAGCAGATTTTGGTTCCAAATGACCCTTTCGTGGGCGGTGGGAAGTATACTTCCCAATATAAAGATGGGCATAAATATGTCCGTAGGGAAGCTCGCTTCCCATCTGCGGCCTGTGGTGCCCTCTGTTAGGATTTGTTTGCACTACGAAAAAATATGTTGTATCTTTCCTTGCAGGGGTAGTACTTTTATTGTTATATTATATCCCGCCAACTGCGTGCGCCGGACATGCCATGTGCCGGAGGCTTTGTTCTTTCCTCGCGTTTATCTCAGACCCCAAGTCTGCATGTCCATCGATAAAGGTAACTGTATCTGTCAGCCTTTCTGATCTCAAAGAAAGCTATACGCTACCGAGTTGCAAGCGTAGTATAATTGAATGAATCAATGAACCAACCGATGAATGCATGAACGAATGAATATGGCAAACGACATACATTTTTTGTCTCAAGAACACATGAAGATGGGACGAAGACGACTGTCACCTGCCCGAAGGTTGTTGCGACCTACAACCAAATAATGGGAGGCGTCGACAAGTTCGACCAGCTGCGGGAGAGTTACGCCATCTGAGGCTGCGCACTCAAGTGGTGGCAGAGGATTTTTTATTTCTTTGTGGACCTTTCAATTGGCAATGCGTTCGTTTTGTACAACACCGTGGGGTTGCAGAAGAAAGATCAGCTTTCTTTTAGACTGAAGCTCGCAAGGCAGCTTACCTGTGGACACACGTCGTGCAAGGAGAGAGGGAGGACGCCGTCATTCCTTTCTAAGGACATGAGTGTGCCCAAAGGGGTCAAGTTTACCAAAGTGGGACAGCACTTCTCAATTGAAAACTTCAACTACCGCCGATGCAGAAGCTGCAGCACCAAGCGACATGAAAAAAGAACCAGGTACACATGCACTGCGTGGTGTACCCCACTGCAAAAAAACATGCTTCCGAAAATTTCACGGAAATTTCACGGAAGTATGCTTCCCACCCACGTAGAAAAAACTACGCTTGTGATAAAAATAAACATTTTGCTGAATTGTGATACTCTATCAATGTAATCTGTCAATTAAAAAAAATGAAGTTCCCTGCTCCTTTTATAAAATTTGCCCATGAAAGGGTTAATGACTATCAATGACTACTTGTAACTATTTTGAGTTATTTGATTGCGCGCGAACTGAGTTGGCTTTCAATGGCTAATTTGGGCTTTTTTTATCAAAATTTGATATGGCAGAAATGTAGTTTAAATGACTTCTAGTTGCTTTTAATTACTATTGGTCACTATTTCTAGTGATTTGATGGTGTGAAGACTAAGTTGGCTTCCAACGGCTAATATTGGCTATTTGATATTTCTGACTTATATGGCAGGGCTGGGGTCCGAATAACTTCTGGTGACTATGCATGATTTTTACTTGCTATTTCGAGCTATTTGATTGTGTGGGCACTGAGTTGGCTTCCAATGGCTATACAGTCAGATCTATTAATTATATGGCAAATTCAGGCTTCAAATGTCTCCTGGTGATGATCTATGACTATTAGTCACTATTTCAACTTATTTGCTTGTGTGCAGACTGAGTTGGCTTCATGCCTTCCACCTTCCACCTTCCGGCGTCATTAATATTATTACCCTCGTTGGATGTGTTTAAAAGTGCTGTTACTAATTATTTTTGCGAAAGTGACCCGTGACCTATTCCATGTCTTCTATTACTGTTTGTTCTTGTTTTTTTCACTCCCTCCCCTCTGTAACACCCCCAGGGCCTTGAGGATATGTAAATAAATATGGCTGTTATTGGCTATATGATCATGTTTATAAATGATATGGCAGATTTGGGGTCCAAATGACTTCCGTGACTATCAATCACTATCAGTCACTATTTCGACTTATTTGTTGTGTGCAGACTGACTGGGCTTCCAATGGGTACTATTGGCTATACATTCATATTTATAATTATAGGGCAGATTCGGGGTCCAAATGACTTCTAGTGACTGTCCATGATATTCAGTTAATATTTCGAGTTATTTGATTGTGTGAAGACTGACTTGGCTTCATATGGCTATTATTGGCTATATGATCATATTTACAAATTATATGGCAGATTCGGAGTTCAAATGACTTCTACTGACTATTAATGACTATTGGTCACAATTTTGAGTTATTTGATTGTGTGTGGGCTGAGTTGGCTTCCAATGAGTATTATTGGCTATTTGATCGTATTTCTGAATTATATGGCAGATTCAGGGTCCAAATGACTTTCGTGGCTATCAATGACTATTAGTCACTATTTCAACTTATTTGATTGTGTGCAGATTGAGTTGGCATCATATGGCTATTATTGGCTATGTGATCATGTTTATAAATTATATGGCAGATTTGGGGTCCAAAATGACTTCCGTGAGTATCAATCACTATCAGCCACTATTTCGACTTATTTGTTGTGTGCAGAATGAGTTGGCTTCCAAGGCTACTATTGGATATGCATTCATTTTGTCACAAAACACAAGTGATGAGGCGATAATAACTGAAGAAACTAACCATTTAATGGGGCGAACTTGTGCCCCCCCCCCCCCCCCCCCGAAAAAAAAGGGAACAGAAGAAAGTAGAGCGTCACGGGCGTCCAAGTCGGCGTGACAGCAAAGTCGAACGCTGGGGCGAAACTGACTGTGGCTCGCCACGCGAAGCCCCTTATGTACATGCGTGGGCTTCTGGAATAATCGGCGTAGAAAGTTCGACGCGCAGAACATTCGGACCTGGAACAAGCAACAGGGTTCTCGAATTCATCAGAATACTAGTCTGCAGGAATAAACAAAAAGATGCGCCGCTCCCAGGAATCGAACCCTGGCTTTTCGCGTGGGAGGCAGGTACGATAACCGTTCGGCCACGCGCGCGCTTTTCTTTTCCTTTTTTGATCGGCCACGCGCGCGCTGCCTACTTGGCCAGCGGCGCGCACGGCAATATTTATAATTATATGGCAGATTTGGGGTCCAAATGACTTCTAGTGATTGTCCATGATTATCAGTCCCTATTTCGAGTTACTTGATTGTGTTAAGACTGAGTTTCATATGGCTATTATTGGCTATATGATCATATTTAGAAATTATATCGCAGATTCGGAGTTCAAAGGATTTATAATGACTATAATTACTATTGCTCACAATTTCACTATAATGACTATTGCTCACAATCGACACGTCGACAAGAAATTACACACAGCGTGGACTATTAACGGCCGTAATCTCATGTTTTGTGGTCCCGAGAGCGTCATTTCTGGTCTCTAAACTAACCTAAAAGGCCAGACTTCGAAGCTTTAGCACAAGCCCAAAACGTAGAGCTTGTCTTCACACATGCTTGTTGTATTTTTGTACCTGAGCCTTTCTCTTAGCGTGTCGACGTATGGTGGACGAGCCAGTGCTGGGAATGTCAACGCTGCGAAGATCGGGGATCTTGCTTACGTACAGTCGGGGACAAAAGTCTCCAGGACGTGCGAGGTTCGGCTGAAGCGCATTGCTCTGCCAGCTGCCGGCGGGTCGCCTGGTTTCGAGATCACGCAAAAGCGCATGCGCGTCCTACTC